TAGGAAATGTTCTTGCTTTTCCAAAAATAAAAATTTAAAAGGAGTGATAGGGTCCTGCCCTTTCTTATCCTGCTCTGACCCCAGAGTTATACTTAGAATGGCAGTAGCATCTTTGTGACAGTGGAAAATCACCCTGAGGTCTAGAAGACAACACTATGAGAACAGAAAACCTAGGCTGCTGACTCTTGCCAGTAACCATGTAGCCCTGGGCTTCTGGGTTACATGAGGAAAACCACCCCTTGTATATCCAAGGTCAGTCAGCTGAGCAGTATGTGCTTGCTCCTAAACACATCCTATCTCATATGCCAGCATTCTCTGCTTGGACATGCCCATGCAGACAATTACTGCCTCAAGCCCAGCTCTCCATGACCTTCCATTTCAGGTGTCCCACCAGTTAACTACTCTCTTTATCTGCAGATATCTTTAACTAACTCTTTATATATCTTTAACTAACTCTCTTTATCTGCATTCCAGATTCCTGGAAGCAGACTCTGATGTTCCCAACTTTGATGAGATGCTCACGTCTGATTGCCATGTTAGAGGACTGGGTCCCATGTTCCACTGACTATGCAGGGCAGGGAGGAATGAGAGAGGAGACTAGGTGGCATAGGCATGAGCAGGGTGGGGATGGCACATCGAATGATGTCTGCCCCAGTGAGAAGTAGGCAAGGGGAGAGATAGGATTATTAGTAAGCTGACTGGAGAAAAGTGCCTTAATTACCCTAATGAGGATTCTTAGGGTCAACCCTGACTTGGTAGGAAAAGTTGCTCAGTAGGAAAGACATTCACCAGTCAGCATCTACATAGACCTGGACATTCATTATTGTTACCTCTGTTAAGAAATGAGCTCATCTGCACCATCGTTTCCTTGGGAATCTTAGCACTGACGTATCCTGGTTGACACAGGTCACTCGTTAATTACATTTCATTACATCCAGAAACCCTTTCTTGAAAACAACCAGTTATTTCCCTTTGGACAATTTCTGCTCTGCCTTTTTGTGCAAATGTATAAAAGTTAAGTGTTTCAATGGCTCAGGAATAAACAGATGTGTGCTTGGCTGAAGTGATGTCCTTCTTTGGGAAAGAATCAGCCCAAAATGAGACTGTGCTTCCAGAAGGCTGCTCAGCAAAAGTTTGGTCTGCAGTAGCAAGGAGACTAGACACAGTTACCCAGTTGGTGGCTCTAACCAGGAAAATTCCACCTTGTCTGCAAAGGAAGTTGGCAGGTCATCTATTCCAGCAGACATTCTGAACTCCTTGGTACTTTCCAGTTTGTTGATGATGTTCTAGGCCAGCCAGAACCTGGCTTTCTTCCCATTTGCTCTTTCTAGGTGTACTTTACCTCAGATTTTTGCCCTCTGGTTTGTCACCTCCTTGGTCATAGTTGGTACGCTTTGTTGCAAGCCCCAGGGGCACTAACCAGCTCCTTCTCTGCTATTTGGAATAAAGACTAGTGCAGACAGGAACTTCCCCTTCACATTCTGCAAAGACCACTGTGATGGAACTCCCTGGGGGTGCACTTGGAGGGTCACATCTTGCCTCTGACATGGCTGATTGGGAACAAATTTGGGGGTATCCCCTATTCTCTACATATCCTTAAGATAGGGAGAAGAGGAATCTGGACAACTGAGCAAAAGAGTGTAGAAACAGAGGCTCCTTTTTTTTTTTCCTTACCCCTCTTTTCCCTCCGAAGAGCAAGGTTAGTGAGAACAAAAATGGTACTCTGATACTTATAAACCAGGGCAGCGGACAGGAGGGCTTTTTGGGGGACAGAGACTCAGGGAGATGATCCCAGTGCCAGGAGCCACTTTTTCCTGAGTGCATCTGCAGACTCCAGAGGAGAAAGTTGAGAGGCCATGTGGAGTTTCAAACAGCTCATTTTGAACTGGGTCATAGACACACTGGTTAAGATCCCTACTGAGTCATGGGGAATGGAGCAGTGGTTCAAAGTGCTGGTTGACCCAATGCCACACTTGCTTGCACTGTCCTAAGAGACCCATTCCTAAGCAAATCACCCACATGTAGGCCCTCATCTCAGGCTCTACTTTCAGAACACAGGAGATAAAAGCAGTAAGAGATCTAAAAAACAGAAGGTGAGATGTTCCAACATATGGGAAGTTCGGGATCTGCAAAAAAGGAGACCAAATAGATGAAAACTGTATTTGAAGAGACAATGAGTGAGGTATTTCCTTTTTCTTTTTTTAATGTTGAATTTATTTTTTATTTTATTTTTCAGTGTTCCACGATTCGTTGTTTGTGTACCACATCTAGTGCTCCAAGCAATACTTGCCCTCCTTAATACCTATCACCAGGCTCACCCATCCCACCACCCCTCTCCCCTCTAAAACCTTCAGTTTGCTTCTCAGAGTCCACAGTCTTTCATGGTTCATCTCCCCCTCCCAATTTCCCAATTCACTTTTTCTTTCCTACTCTTAATGTTCTCCCTATTATTCCTTATGTTACACAAGTAAGTGAAACCATATGATAATTGACTTTCTCTGCTTGACTTATTTCACTCAACGTAATCTCCTCTAATCCCATCCATGTTGATATAAAAGTTGAATGTTCATCCTTTCTGATGGCTAATATTCCATTGTATATATGGACCACATCTTCTTTATCCATTCTTCTGTTGAAGGGCATCTTGGTTCTTTCCACAGTTTGGCAATTGTGGACATTGCTGCAAAGAACATTGGGGTACATATGGCCCTTCTTTTCACTATATCTGTATCTTTGGGGTAAATACCCAGTAGTGCAATTAGAGGGTCATAGGGTAGCTCTATTTTTAATTTTCTGAGGAATCTCCACACTATTTTCCAAAGTGCCTGCACCAACTTGCATTCCCACCAACAATGTAAGAGTGTGCCTCTTTCTCCACATCCTCTCCAACATTTGTTGATTCCTGTCTTGTTAATCTTAATCATTCTAAGTAGTGTAAGGATATATCTCAATGTGGTTTTGATTTGAATTTCCCTGATGGCTAATGATGAAAATTTTTCATGTGTCTGCTAGCCATTTGTATGTCTTCTTTGGAGAAGTGTCTGTTCATGTCTTGTGCCCATTTTTTGATGTGACTCTCTGTTTTTTGGGTGTTGAGTTTGAGGAGTTCTTTATAGATCTTGGATATCAGCCCTTTGTCTGTAGTATCATTTGCAAGTATCTTCTCCGATTCCATGGGTTGCCTCTTTGTTTTGTTTCCTTTGCTGTGCAGAAGCTTTTGATCTTGATGAAGTCCCAAAAGTACATTTTTGCTTTTGTTTCCTTTGCCTTTGGAGATGTGTCTTGAAAAATGTTGCTGTGGCTAACATCAAAGAGGTTACTGCCTGTGTTCTCCTTTAGGATTTGATGGATTCCTGTCATGAGTGAGGTATTTCCAAAACTGATTAAGATGGATATCAAGCTACAGATCTAACCCTACAGAGCCCAAGTGGGATGAATAAAAACAAGCCAATAAAAAATAATACTGTAAAAACCAAAGATGGTTGGTATTCACAGACCCAGAAATTATGTATTTATTTGGTCTATTCATATTATACAACAAAATTCCCAAACTGATGAAGGGAAAACTTACAGAACTCCAGTTAGAGGTCACTACAACTCAATTTGGCATCACCACACCCTCCAAAAGCACTACCTCCAGGAAAGCTTCCTCTTGGCCTGGATTTAGGCTTCTTAACCCAATCCAAGATAACAGTTCATAGAGCTACGCAGAGGTCAACAGTAAAGCACCTTAAGAAATAATAATAAAATAATAAAAATAAAATGCAGTTAATATTCTTCAAAGCTCTTGCAGGAAGGGGCCACACCTTTGGTTTGAGCTTGGGGATCAAGGGTGGAGCCAGACAAGGGTGGTCCGTGCAGGGGGTGCAAAGTCAGCTCTACAACAACCAAGAGCTCATGTTAATTCCACAGCCCTCTCTCCAGTCAGGCCAGGGAAACTGCATGAGAATTCACACTCCCTTTTCTTCACCATGAACTCATTGTGGTGAGTTAACCAGGGATGAGCATTCACCTGAACCAACTCACGACCTCTCTTTAGATAAATACTGTGCACTTATGTCATGAATGTTAGCCGTGATTTCTTTTTTTCTATTTTATTTAATATGGACATTTGCCCTTTAGAAATTATGTTGAATAGCTGAACTTTTCCCTTTGAGCACAACTTTTGTTTTCTTTTAGCTGCTCTAAATGAGAATTATTCTTCAACAACATCACATACTGCTTTTTTTTTGAATCTGAATAGAATTTGCTTCTGGGATTTATGGTTATTGTCAGTCATGCTGGCCTGGAGACACCCTTAACACTGAGATTAGCTATCTCTGGATCCCAGTCCAACCCTGTTTCCACACCCCTGGATGTCTCCTCTTTCACTGTAGCTGCCCACTCTTCTCATCCCTCAACATCTAGGGAAAGGATAACCCTGAGTCAAGGCAAGCCTGTGCTGCTCATGGAGGCAGTCTGTGACCCTGAGATCATTTTTGCTTCCTCGTTCTTGTTGGGTGTTCCAGAGCAGCAACCACCACCAGAACTCTGTGCGATGGTGGGAATGTTGTTGTCCATCCTGTCCAATCTGGTAGCTACTGGCCACATGGCTACTGAGCATGTGAACTGTGGCTACTGTCACTGTGGAACAGAGTATTTTATTTTATTCCATTCTATTCTCTATATATATTTTTTACTTACACCTAAAGAACTACGTAGAACTAGTGTATTGGATAGCACAGCAATCTAGACACCAGTAGGTTTACCAAATAACAGTCTGAGATAGGTGAGCTCTTAGTCTGTATTTCCTCCCTATAATAGATTTCCTCCCAAATGGCTTTTTAAGTGTTCTCTTTGGAATTAATAGGACCCTTCCAGTTTGTCCTTAGGATTATATTCAACAACAACAATAGCATTATTTGATCAAAAATATCACCACAGAGAGAAGAGAATGAACAAAATAAAGCTTTATTTGAACTGTGCTGGTCACTGTCCAAGTTTTATATATCCAAGCCATTTCATAAATAGTGCCATAACTACAGTCCACCAGGGCCACCGCACATGCCACAGGTCTCTATTCCTAAGCACTGCTTGTTGCTTTGCAACAGAGAACGGACCATCACTCAGTATATCTGCGAGCTACAGCTAATGGCTACCCTGTTAGTGTGATAGGCATACACATCTAATCAGAGAGAAGCAAGCACAGTTGTGATCCACAGTAGGTGTTGAGTACCCCAGACACCCCTTAAACACCTACACAGCTGCAAGGCACCATATAACATGGGGTATAGATAAGAAAAACCTTTCCCTGTTCCCAAGAACCCAGCTCAGCAAGCTGCTGTCACCTGTACTCCATGCCATTGGCCCCTGCATGCTTAGCTAATAAATAAACAACCTAACAATTTGCAACCTAATGATTTATATCACCTTGTTAATGTTAGATGACTTAAGGCATACTTTAAAAAGAGAGAGAGACTTGATTCAGAGTTCCAAGTCTCATCCTTGGAACATACCAACCACAGAATGAAGGATGGGCAGTTTTCAAGGATCCGTATCTAGCCAAATTAGTGCCGTAATGAGGAGTCACCTGAGTTTTCATTGGCTTCCCTCCCTGAACATCCCCACATATTTGGGGCATGTTGACTTCCTACCAAGAGGCATCCAAAGTGGAAAGGGAAAACTTTCCACTTCACAGCTTGGAGAAACAATACATGAATGGTTCTAGAACTAAAATCAGAGCACATTCATACTGTCAATTTTAAGAGTTAGATTTTATTATACATAAACCAAGGGAAATAGAAATATATACCAAAAAAAAAAAAGGATGCTACAAGCTTGAAAGTTCTCAAGATAGCTATATTTAGACAGAGGTAAAACATTTCCAATACAGATTCCCCAATATGCCAAACATTAAAAATGTACCCTCTGACCCTCTTCATATTTTCCCATGAGCAGAGGCACAAAAGATTCTCCCAATTCTAAATGTTATAAAGAGCATGTGCATGTAAATCCACATACTACATGTGTGTATTTGTACATTCTTCCAAAATATAAAAGTGTAAAAATAAAATTTCTGCCTTTTGTATCTAGAAGCATCTGGGGAAAAAAACATGATTGCTTCTAGTTCTCAGTCATCTGAGCAGGTACATGTTACCAGGCTTTTCCCCTTCCTGTGCTGCCAGGAGGTGACACAGAAATGGAGATGACAGTGATTTTCATTCCGGGAAACCAAATCCAGGACAAGGGGAAACAAATGCTAAGCATGTCTCATAGTACCTCTTCATGGGTTCTCAGCAGTAAGAAGGCAGGGCTTAGCACAGACTTCACACCGGGGCAGTATGGGTTATGCTCTGGGAGAGGACTGCTTCTGAGACAGTAGGAAATGAGCAAATCTGAGAGCTACATTCTGGAAGGACAGTTAAGGGTATAGGCACTGGGTCTTGATTAGAGGCCATCACTGAGAGGCAGCTTTGTCTTTGTACTTCTGGTAGGCACTCAGGATTTCTGTGATGACACTGGGGTCCTCCAGGGTGGTCGTGTCCCCCAGATCCTGAGTTCTGCCTGTGATTATCTTCCTCAGGAGCCTCCGCATGACTTTTCCAGACCGAGTTTTTGGAAGACGCTTCACTACCTGGCGGAAGAGATACAGAATTCAAGTTTGGGTGGTACCCAGACTCCCAGAAGCATCCAATTGTGTTGGGATAGAAAAGGTTCTGCCCCAGGGATGACACCCTCACTCGGGACTCAGGAATGAATGACTGAGCTGCCAGAACAAACCTAGAGAACATGAAGGCCTGTGTTCTCTTTTTTTTTTTTTCTTCCTACAGTCTGGACATAAACTAATATCAACCCAAAGGTCAGGATCAACCATATGTTAGGGGTTTTGCTGAAGCCCTTCTTCAGGCAGGGTCTGCCCATACCCATGTCTGCCTCACTGACGATACCTCTGTCTCCCATTTGCTACTGAGGGGTCCCCAGTAGCAACAGAACTATGCATATGCCATGGCAACTCGTCTCCACCCACTGGCCCAGCCCAAGGTTGCTTTTTGCTGACATAAGAGGTAAGAGCTACTATAGAGAAAATGTGGTCTTGTTCAGTGTTTGAAAATTTAGCATTTAACATTTTCAAACAATCATGGCCCCCTTAATGTCAATAGGAATATGCGAAGAGCTGTGTTTTGAGCTTATTTAACAGTAACCCATCTTTGAGAGGGGTGAGTTCACCTATGGGAGTTCAGGTATCCCTGAAACTCTGTTCCAGGCCAACAGCTTGAATTTGTGTAATACCAGATGAGCCCGGGGCCACTCCTACCTCCACGGACCTGCTCTGAACCAACGAAGACTGTGGGGAAAATGTTAATAAAGAAAGGAGTGGAAACCTAATGGGACTGGAAAGGTGGCCCCACTCTTCCCCAGACCTGACTCCCAACATAGACTCCCTCAGATAGGGGTCTGGTGTGTTTTCCGCACTGACACCAGATGTGTCCAGAAACCACGTGTGTGTGTGTGTGTGTGTATTCATATATTCATATATCTATATATAGACATATAGATATATATATATAGATGTATGTATATATATTCAAAGTCTGAATGGAACAATCTGCAGCTAAGAATACTCTATCCAGGAAGGCTGTGACTCAGAACAGAGTAAGAGATAATGAGTTTCCCAGACAAAAACTAAAGGAGTTTGTGACCACTAAACCCACCCTGCAAGAAATATTAAAAGGGACTCTTTTTTAAAATTCTTTATTTAAATTTAATTTGGTTAACATATACTGTATCATTAGTTATACCAGAGTAGAATTTCGTGATTCATCAGTTGCATATAACAGCCAGTGCTCACTACATCAAGTGCCCTCCTAAATGCCCATCACCCCGTTACTCATTCCCCCTACCCACCTCCCCTCCAGCAACCCTCAGTTTGTTTCCTAGATCAGTATCTCTTATAGTTTTCTTCCCCCTCTATCTTCATTTTATATTTTTTCTTTCCCTTCCACTAAGTTTCTCTGTTTTGTTTCTTAAATGGCACATATAACTGAAATCATGTGGTGTTTCTTTATTTGACTGACCTTTTTTGCTTAGCATAGTACCCTCCAGTTCCATCAACATCACTGCAAATGGCAAGATTTCGTTCTTTTTGATGGCTGAGTAATATTCCAGTGTGTGTGTGTGTGTGTGTGTGTGTGTGTACACACCACTTCTTTATCCATTCATCTATTGATGGACACCTGGGCTCTTTCCATAGTTTGGCTGTTGTGGACACTGCTGCCATAAACATTGCAGTGCACGTGCCCCTTCAAATCACTATGTTTGTATCATTTGGATAAATACATAGTAGTGCAATTGCTGGATTGTAGGGTAGTTCTATTTTTAACTTTAAAAGGGACTCTTTGAGTGCAAAGGAGAAACCAAATGTGACAAAGACAAAAAAGGATCAGAGAAAATCTCTAGACACAATGACAAAACAAGTAATAAAATGGCAATAAATACGTGTCTATCAATAATTACTCTGAATCGCAGCACCTGGGTGGCTCAGTCAGTTAAGCATCTGCCTTGGCCTCAGGTCATGAGCTCAGGGTTCTGGGATTGAGCCCTGCTTTGGGATACTTGCTGAGCAGGGAGTCTGCTTCTCCCTCTCCCTCTGCCCCTCCCCCCACTTCTGCATGTTCTCTCTTTCTCTCTCTCTCTCAAATAAATAAATGAAAGCAATAATAATTACTCTGTTTTAAACAGACCAAACACTCCAATCAAAACGTGCATGGTGCCAAAATGGATAAAAAAAGAGATCCATCTATATGCTGCTAAAAAGAGACTCATTTTAGACTTAAAGACACTTGCAGATTGAAAGTGAGGGGGTGAAGAAACATCTACTAATACTTATCTTGGACAAAATAGATTTTAAAACAAAGATTGTAACAAGAGACAAAGAAGAACACTATATAAGCATAAAGGGGATTTCCAATAAGAAGATAAACAATTGTAAATACTTACACCCACAACATGGAAGCACCCAAGTATTTATTAAAAAATAACAAAGATAAAGGACCTAATTGATAACAATACAATAATAGTAGGTGACTTTAACATCCCACATACACCAATAGACAGATCATCTAAACAGAAAATCAATAATGGAATAGTGGCTTTGAATGACACACTAGACCAGAGGGACTTAACAGATATATTCAGAACATTCCATCCTAAAACAGCAGAATACACATTCTTTTCTTTTTTTTTTAAGATTTTATTTATTTATTTGACAGAGATCACAAGTAGGCAGAAAGGCAGGCAGAGAGAGAGGGGGAGGCAGGCTCCCTGCTGAGCAGACAGCTCGATGCAAGGCTTGATCCCAAGACCCTGAGATCACGACCTGAGCTGAAGGCAGAGGCTTAACCCACTTTGCCACCCAGGTGCCCCCACATTCTTTTCAAGTGAACATGAAACATTCTCCAGAATAGATCACATATTAGGTCACAAAACAGGCCTCAATAAACACAAAAAACTGAAATCATACAATGCACTTTTTTTTTTTTTATCATAATTCTTTGAAACTAGAGATCAACCACAAGAAAAACTTTGGAAAAATCACTGATACATGGAGGTTAAACAGCATGCTATGAAACAATGAATGGGTCAACCAGGAAATAAAAGGAAAAATAAAACATAGAAACAAATGAAAATGAAAACACAACAGTACAAAACCTCTGGGATACAGCAAAGGCAGTCTTAAGAGGGAAGTATCTAACAATACAGACCTACATTAAGAAACAAAAATCTTGGGGCGCCTGGGTGGCTCAGTGGGTTAAAGCCTCTGCCTTCAGCTCAGGTCATGATCGGGTCCTGGGATCGAGCCCCACATGGGGCTCTCTGCTCAGCAGGGAGCCTGCTTCCCCTCTCTCTCTCTGCCTGCCTCTTTGACTAACTGTGATCTCTCTCTGTCAAATAAATAAATAAAATCTTAAAAAAAAAAAAGAAACAAAAATCTCAAATAAACAACCTAACTTTAAACCCAAAGAAGCTAAAGAAAGAACAACAAATGAAGCCTAAATCCAGCAAAAGGAAGGAAATAATAAAGATCACAGGAAAAATAAATTATATAGAAAATAAAAAAAATACTAGGACACAAACTGAGGGTTTCAGACGGGAAGGGTTCGGGGGCTGGGTTAACCAGGTGATGAATATTAAGGAGAGCATGTGTGGTGATGAGCACTGGGTGCTATACCCAGTTAATTAACTGTTGAATACTACATTAAAAATTAATGATGTACTATATGTTGTCTCACTGAACATAATAAAAAAAAACAAAATAAAACACTAGGAGAGGTCAATGAAACCAAGAGCTGTCTCTTTGAAAAAATAAAACTGATAAACTTCTGGACAACCAAAAAGAAAAGACAAAGGACTCAAATAAAATCACAAATGATAGAGGAGAAATAACAACGAACATCACAGAAAGAAAACAATATTATAATATCATGGAAAGCTGTATGCCAACAAACTGGACAACCTAGAATAAACGGATAAATTCCTAGAAACATATAAATTACCAAAATTGAAGCAGGAAAAATAGAATACTTAAACAGACTGGTCACCAGCAAAGAATTGAGTCTGCAGTCAAAAATCTCTCAAAAAAATCTCTCAACAGGCCCAGACGGCTTTAGAGGCAAATTCTACCAAACATTTAAAGAAGAGTTCATACCTATTCTTCCCAAATCATTCCATAAAATATAAAAGGAAGGAAAACTTCCAAAACCAGGTAAAGATTCCACTAAACTTACTGTCTGACATCTTAGCCAGGCTGCAGTGTGGCTGCTGTTCTCTGAACTTCACCATGCTGCCCAAGGACAAGAAGAAGAAAGATGCTGGGAAGTCAGCCAAAAAAGATAAAGACCCAATGAACAAATCCAGGAGTCGGGCCAGAAAAAAGGGGTCCAAAGACAAAGTTTGGGACAAGCTCAATAACCTGGTCTTGCTTGAAAAAGTGACATATGACAATCTCTGTAAGCAAGTTCCCAACTATAAGTTTATGACTCCTGCTGTTGTCTCTGGGAGACTGAAGATTCAAGGTCCCTGGCCAGGGCAGTTGTTCGGGGGATCCTTAGTAAAGGACTCATTAAAATCTTGTTTCAAAGCACAGAACTCAAGTAATTTACACCAGAAATACCAAGGGTGGAGATGCCCCTGCTGCTGGTAAACATGCATGAACAGATCCCACCACCTGTACATTTTGGAAAATAAAACTTTATTAAATCCAAAGAGAAAAAAGGACTCCACTAAAGAAGAGAACTAAAGGTCAATATGCCTGGTGAACATAGATGTAAAAATTCTCAATAAAAGACTAGCAAACAATACATTTAAAAAATCATTTACCATTATCAAGTAGGATTTATTCCTATGTTGCAAGGGTAGTATAATATTTGCAAATCAATGTGATATACCATATTAATAAAAGAAAGGTTTCAATTTCAATAGGTACAGAAAGAGTATCTGACAAAATACAGTATGTTCATGATAAAAATGTGTTCAATGTGATATACCATATTAATAAAAGAAAGGTTTCAATTTCAATAGGTACAGAAAGAGTATCTGACAAAATACAGTATGTTCATGATAAAAAACCTCAACAAAGTAGGGTTAGAGGGAACAGACCTCAACACTATAAAGGCCCTATACAAAAAACTCACAGCTAATATCATTCTCAGTGGGGAAAAACTAAGAGCTTTTCCTTTACAGCCAAGAACAAGACAGGGATGTCCATCCTCCCCAGTGTTACTCAACATAGTACTACAAGTCCTAGCCATAGCAATCAAACAAAAACAAATAAAAGGCATTCAAATCAGCAAGGAGGAAATAAAATTTTCACTACTTGCAGATGACATGATACTCTATGTAGAAAACCCAAAAGATTCCAACAAAAAACTGCAAGAACTGATACATGAATTCAGTAGTCGCAGAATACAAAATCAAAATACAGAAATCTGTTTCATTTCTATACATCAATAATGACGCAGCAGAAAGAGAAATTAAAGAATCAATCGCATTTATAACTGCACCAAAACCAGAAAGATACCTAGGAATAAACCTAACCAAAAATGTTTGAAGATGTGTATTGTGAAAACTATAAAACACTGATGAAAGAAACTGCAGATGACGCAAAGAAATGGAAAGACATTCCATGCTCATGGATTGGAAGAGCAAATATTGTTAAAATGTCTATACTACCCAACCAACTACACACTTAATGCAATTCCTGTGAAAATACAATAGCATTTTTCACAGGAACTAGAACAAACAATTCTAAAATTTATACGGAACCACAAAAGACCCCCAAATATCCAAAGAAACCTTGAAACAGAAAAGCAAAGCGGGAAGCATCACAATTCTAGGCTTCGACTTATATTACAAAGCTGTAGTGATCAAAACAGTATGGTACTGGCACAAAAATAAACACATAGATGAATTGAGAACCCAGAAATGACCCACAACTATATGGTCAATGAATCTTCAACAAAGCAGGAAAGAATAACCAATGGGAAGAAGACCACCATCTCTGCAACAAATGGTATTGGGAAAACTGGACAGCAACATGCAAAAGAATGAAACTGGATCACTTTCTTATACTACACACAAAAATAAATTCAAAATGGATTAAAGACCTAAATATGAGTCCTGAAACCATAAAAATCCAAGAGGAGAACACAGAGAGTAACCTCTTTGACATAAGCCATAGAACTTCTTTCTAGATAGGTCTCCTGAGGCAAGGAAAAGAAAAGCAAAAATAAACTATTTGGACTTCATCAAAATAAAAACTTTTGCACCAGGGAGAGCCCGACCCCAATGCCCCCCTAGAGTGTGTCATCCCCTGCCCCATATATTCTTTCTCTCTGGTACATATTAACTCTTATTTTATCTTTTCATGTTCTATATGCTGTTTATTATTTGTTTTAAATAATATTACTTGTTTCCAGTTGGAAAAAAAAAAAAGGCAACCTACTGAATGGGAGATGTTTCACAAATGACATATCTGATAAAGGGTTAGTATCCAAAATTTATAAAGAGCTTATCAAATTCAACACCCAGAAAACAATCCAATTTAAAAAATGGGCAGAAGACATGAACAGACATTTTTGCAAAGAAGTCAATACAGATGGCCAATAGATGGCCAACATGAAAAGATGTTTGACACCACTCATCATCAGGGAAATACAAATCACCACTACAATGAGGTATCACCTATACCTGTCAGAATGGCTTACCTCAACAACTCAGGAAACAACAGAAGTTAGCAAGGATGTGGAGAAAGGGGCACCTTCTTACACTGTTGGTGGGAATGCAAACTGGTGCAGCCACTCTGGAAAACTGTATAAAGGTTCCTCAAATTTAAAAATAGAATAACCCTACAATCTAGCAGTCACACTAGTAGGTATTTACACAAAGAATCCAAAAACACTAATTTGAACGGGTACGTGTACCCTGATATTTATAGCAGCATTATCAACAACAGCCAAACTATGGAAGGAGCCCAAGTGTCCATTGACTGATGAATGGATAAAGAAGATGTGATATCCATCCATCCGTCCGTCCGTCCATCCATCCGTCCGTCCATCCATCCATCCATCCATCCAATGGAGTACTACCCAGCCATAAAGAAGAATGAAATCTTATCACTGACAACAATATGGATGGAACCGGAGAATATAGTGCTAAGCAAAAATAACTCATTCAGAGAAAGACAAATACAATATGACTTCACTCATATGTGGAATTTAAGAAACAAAATATATGAGCGAAAGGGGAAAGACAGAGAGAGAGATGTGAACCAAGAAACAGACACTTAATTATAGAGAACATACTAATGGTTACCAGAGGGGAGGTGGGCAGGGGTGGGTTATGTAGGTGATGGAGATTAAGGAGTGCACTGGTTATGGTGAGTACCAGGTGATGTATGGAAGTGTCTAATCACTACATTGTACATCAGAAACTAATATTACACTGTATGTTAACTAAATGGAATTTAAACAAAAACATGTAAAAGATACATAAGTAAAATCTCTGATTTTCTTTGCCACCCAGCCCTGCTCCTATAACTGGCCTCTGCATGCCAAAGTTAGAGAGCACCTAATCCTCCCCAGCATGATCCTGTGGACAGGTGAGCTTTGTAAACATTGGCTGTGAGGTCTTCTGGCCTACCCCCTCTCTCTGAGGATGCAGCAACTCACCTTCCCCACCTACTTCCCAGGAAACCAATAGCTAACCTCCATTTTGCTGCTGATGGAAGGGGTCACTGTTGGCTGTTACTTGTGGGAGTAGAGAAGGAGGCTTACAACACAGTGCCAGCACACCTGAGGGCCAGGTGCCACTCACCAGAATCTGATCGGGCACGGCGTACTTGGCGATCTTGGTGGCCACTGCAGATCGGAGCTCCTTCAACACCGCGTCTGTGTCACCTGTGTTGTCCTTCAACACGATGAAGGCAAATGCAACTGAAAGGAGTCAAAGGTTTGGGATGTGTTCAACCACGAACCATCTCCCAAGGCAGAGCATTGTACACAGTCATCATATATCTTAAGGAACTATAAATCATGTATTGGTGACCTGTAACAACCTCTTCCTTTAGCCCTAAAGATGCATTTCCATTTCATCCAAAGTGGAAAGCGATTCTTTTTTTTTTTTTCCTTCTCAAAGTGGAAGCGATTCTAAGAGCTCTTATGAGCAGCGCAGCGAAGTCAACATGTAGATGAGAGCTCCCTTCGGCTCTGGTGTTGACTGGAAGGGGATGTCACCTTGGAGGTGTGACTTAACCTCTCCTGCTACACTTGTGCCTGTGAAGTAGCCCATAATGTGGGTTCACAGGAGACATACTACCCAATCCTTTTACATGGTGCATGAGAACATAGCACGTGCCACTAATCCTATGGGTATGTGTCCAAAATGGTGGGCCCTAGCCACAGTAGCTATTTAAATGTAAATGAAATTAAGGTTAACATGTAGTTCCTGGGTGGCATGAGCCATCTGTAGCTTGTAGCTACTGTCCTGGACAGCGAGCTCCATCCTGGCTGGAAGCTTGACTGGGCAGTGCTGACCAACCCATATTTTAGCAGAAACACTAGGTTTCGTTTGTCAATAGCCTACCATGTTCCAGAAAGGATTAACAGTGGTTCTCACAGGACTCTACATTTCTTTTCAATCCACCTGGGATAATCTTGCATATGTGAGACACAGAGATTGAATTCCATTGTTCCTCCACATAAGCCATCCCAGCAGCACTGTGAACAGCCTATCTTCCCTCAAGGACCTACAGTGCCCCTTGCAGACATGAAGTCCCTACATACATTCAGCCTGTGTATACCTGCACCAATCCAATCCCATCTTAATTAATTCTCCCCATGGCACACACCACCTAACCTATTATGTAGTTTCCTCATTGCTTGTGTTTACTCCCTATTGTCTGACTCTCCCCTCCACACCTTGACCCTCCAGCGTGTAAGCTCTATGAGGCAGGGACTTCTGTTCCTCGCCAAGTCTGGGTCCTAATCAGACAAGACCAGATGAGGAATTCTCCTCAGCCAGACCACGTGCAAACACAGGGAGTGGGAATAAAGAGGTAACCAACAGCTATTGCTGTTCATGTATTATGAATGCATAGGTGCTCAAATGCGTCAGAAATCAGAAAAATGTGTATCATCATAAGCATGATACAGACATTCTCCCCAGCAGCCTGATGGGCAGTAGAAGGCCTACTGATCCCAGAGTGACTTGGGCTGTGGCTTCTGCTAACGGGGATGCAAGCTGACCCAAGGCCTCTGAGTCTCACATGAGAGGACCTGTTTCTATCCCCTCCCTCCCTCCCCATCCCCTCCCTCCTTTCCTTCCTACCGCTGACTGCTCTCATGCATTCCAGTCTCCTGCTAAGGAAGAGGCCAGCCTCATGGACATATGCTTCCCAGGGAAAGTGAAAAATGAGTTTTCAAGTGTTCAAATAGGATGCCTGGGTGAGTCAATCTCTTAAGTGTCTGCCTTCTGCCCAGGTCATGATCCCAGGATTCTGGGATCAAGTCCTACACTGGGCTCCTTGCTCAGCAGGGAGCCTGCTTCTCCCACTGCCTGCCACTCCCCCTACTTGTGCTCTCAATCTCTTTCTCTTTCCTTCCCTCTTTCCCTCTGTCTCTCTGACAAGTAAATAAAGTCGTTTTTTAAAAAGTGTTTACATGAATATTAAATTTTACAGTGGGTCAATTTAGATAAGGTGTTTGAGTAGTTAATGGAACTGTAGCACACAAATGTGGCAGGAAGGCTGATGACCCTAGGGCATGCTGAAACAGAGGATGCCCCTGACAGCAAGAGGGCAAGAGCCCTTCCCAGGGTGCTTGGCCAGGCAGTGTAGGATGGCCTGCCCAGCAGTGTGGCATATAGTCAGCAAGCATCCAGGTCACACCAGGCCAAGTGAGTGTGACCACCATGCACTGGGCATTACAATACTCAGGTGACCCTGTCCCTGCCCAGACCCACCCACTTAGACACTGGGAGACTTTAGAATAATGGGTGTCTTCAAATAAAGACTATTCTGGTTATCATTCAGTAGCTGCAGTGGAAACCACAGGTCAGATTCTTCCAAAAAGAATCCCAGAGCTGCACAAGGGCCCACACCAGGGCCTGACTGCCAGCCCCCATGGCAGCTGCCCGGGGCACTGTGCCCAGGCACGTGCAAGGAGATGCTGTGAGCAGGACAGTGTATTTCATGGGCACCCTCCATAAATGAGCTGCCATGCACACGTGGACAGAGGAGGAAATTCCCAAGAACAGCAGAGGCCCACTAGGTCCTAGCTCCTGTGGATGTGTGCCCTTAAAGGACAGCAGAACTAAGACATTTCAGAAATCTGACCCTTGTCTAACATACATGCTATCAAGTCCCCTCACCCAAAGTCTCTACCTGGGACAGAAGAAAGCAACAGCTTGATGCATACAAAACCCTGACCACCCATTCCCAGAGTCCATTCCTTTTACAAAGTGCCACAGTGTGTGTGACCAGGAATGAGGAGCACCTTTGGTGGGCGCTCACCTTCTCCTTTGATGTCATGGGGATAGCCAATGACAGCGGTCTCTGGCACAGCAGGATGGTTAGCCTATTTAGAACACAAGACAAAACATGCAGATGAACCATCTGCCTGAGTTAGCACATAGGTCAATCCAAGGCCTCCCGGAGCTACCCAAGCAAAGGAGGCCCAACTGTGCTCACCATTGCGTCCTCGATCTCTGCAGTCCCCAGCCTGTGGCCGCTGATGTTGATGACGTCGTCCATCCGCCCTGTGATCTGGTAGTAGCCGCCTTCTGTCCGGTACGCCCCATCACCAGTGAAGTAGTGGCCTGCACCACAATGGGGTGCAGCGGTATTCAGAGGTATGCAGAGGTATTCAGCAGCAATACCTCTGAACCAGGACCGAGCAGGGCTCCCATCCGTACATGAGGGACACAGCAAGACACACACCCTGACCTCACTCTATGGAAGAAATCTCCAAAACCCCAGCTCTGTTGACTTCCTGCCTCTCCACCCTTCTGCCAATCCCTTGCAGAGACACTTTTCTAGATGGTACCATCTGGCTGTGTGCTAGAGAAAGGGCAGTGGCTCCGAATCGGCAGAGTTCTGACCACATCACAGCTGCAAACATCTGAGGAGTAGATGATAGGCAAAGAGCACACCGAAGCATCCCCCAAAGTGAGGCTCATTCACAAACTTGAGAATGAAAATGAAGGGTTCCAACAGGCACAATGTGTATATAACCTTCCAGCCCAATGACATAAAGCAAACCAGGAAAAAAATAAAAAGTAAGCCAGAAGAAAACTTGCAGTTAGACATCAGGCCAGTTTTCTGGAGTGGTTTCTTCATTCTTCCTTCCTAGTAGCCTAAGGTGTGGTGGGCACACCAAGGGGTGGGTGCTTCAGGCTCTGCATGCAGCCCCACTTCAACCCCAGGGACCCTGCCCACTCCAGAGACCAGGAGGCTCAGGGAGCTGAGGGGGAGGGGCAGGACTCCAACTCCAAAGTGTTACCACACTACACTCAGTCATCATTACCTTAAAGACGTTTTCTGAGCCTATGATCCCCAGGGTGTGGAGAAACGCATGATAAAATCCATTTTAGTTGGCTCACCTGGGTAAGGCTTGAAGTAGGCCTCCATGAATCTCTTGTGGTCTCCATAGATGGTTCTTGCCATGCCTGGCCAGGCCTGGGACAGGCACAGAGCCCCAGAGACATTACTGCCCTCCACGACGTTTCCCTGTGGACCCAGAGACCCATGTGTGAGAGAACGCAAAGATTCTGCTTGAGAAGCAAAGAACTAATAATGTTCTTCTGAGAAATGAGAGATGGAAGTACCAGAGAAATACGTGAAAACAGAAATGTAAAAAATGACAAGCGTGCCCCAAAAGGAACTGCCCTTCTCCTCTGCAAGAATCCAGCCTGAGATGGAGGTCCAGGAGGACCAGGGCTCACTCTACGCAGGGATTTCAAGTGTGCGTCCTTGAGGAGACGCTGCAGTGAACACTCACCCTTCTGCCACCCACCAGAGCTGGGCCTGTGTGACATGAGATAGTGGGCAGGGGAGGCCAGGAAAGCATACAGGAGCACCAGGAGCTCAACAGGGCAAGCACACAGGAAGGGGATGCCTCCACCAGGCCTTACCTTCTCGTCCATGAGCACTGGGACAATGCCAAAAAAGGGCCTCATTGCCATGCCAGGGAGGATCTCTGCTCCTTCTTCTGAGGGCCGTGGCGCAATGCAGATACCACCCGTTTCTGCAGGGAAAATAGAGAAGAAGTGCACACTGGACCCAGGAACTACTGAGATGTTTATCTAGACATGCCATCAGGGGTCCGCAATGGACACACAAGTGCTGTCCCCAGGTGGGCGATGGGTGTTTATCTCTATTTGGCCCCCAGTGACACAAAGATATCTTTCTGAGGCAAGACCAGACTTGGGTTCTATGGAAATTAAGATGTGGGCCCAAAGCGGAGGGGTCAGTCCCAGGAGCCGGGGCACTCCACAGAGACAGGTGCTGCCTCCCCTCATCCTCAGCTCTGCAGAAAAGGACAGAGTCCACCTGCTTGCACAGGAAGACAGAGGAAATGAACTGCTTCTGGGCCAGTGCTCCCCACCCCCACACTCTAAACAATGAAAAGCAATGCCCACAGTTCTGTTCTCAAGTATTTTCTTTGGCACTTCCCTCTCTCAGCCTGCATGGAAATGCCTCAGGAGACTCAGTTGCAGAAAGCCTCCATTCTGAGCCTTCCCAAATGGAGAATGGAGCTATTTGCACTCCCTCACTTTCTGGCTTCTTGAAGAACAAGATCCCAGCTGGCTACATGTATTACATCAGTGGTGGTCTCTTGCCCTGAACATCCCAGTAAGTCAGATACCCCAGAGGACAGAGGGCAGAGAAAAACCAAATGGCAGAGAAAAACAAAGGGCTTTCCCACTAAAATCTAAATTTAGACTCTGGTCCCTTATAGTCGGCCCATCTGCATCAGTTGTACTTGTTTTGGGCATGCGGGCCCAACAGGAAAATGACCGTTTAGCTAAGCACCTACTACCTATCAGGCCTCAGACAACATAAAACAGTTCTATCACCTCCCTCCATCCTCATAGGGCCTGTAGTGGAGCACCCCCACTTCACAAATGAGGAACCCAAGGCTCAGAGACGTCATTACATATCCCGAGTCCTCTAGCTGGAATCCCTCAGCCTGGCTCTGCCTCTCACTCCAGACACTGGGATTTCCAACCACCACGTGTGCTGAGGGGCTGAGGCATTAGCGGTGTTGGATGGCAATCGCAGAGCCTCACTCCCACTTGACCCTCCAAGACTCGGGCTCGGCCACATGTTCTCACGTGCTATCATACACTGCGAGTGATCCTGGCACCAGGTTCCGAAGGCATGCCCGGGCCCCTTCTCCTCGGGGACTCTCACCTGTCTGCCACCACGTGTCCACCAGCGTGCATCTGCTATCCCCCACCACCTTGTGGAGCCACTCCCAAGCCTCAAAGTTGATCGGTTCTCCCACTGAAACCACACACAAAAGGAGAAACAATATAATAGACCTCAATAAACCTGAAACCAAAAAGGATAGGTTTTGTAATTTGTAAACAGCTCTGTAATTTCCCTAAAGGACGTAAGAGGAAACTTGAAAAAACAGTGAGATTCATCACATTTGTGGTGCCAAAGAATACAAATTACTAGATATTTTCACCATCAGGTCAAAAATTTAAAAGTTGCCTAGAATGTGAGAGAAAGAAACCTTAAATAGCCTTAACCAACTGAACATCCCAGGCACCCCTCATTATTATTATTATTTTTTTTTTACTTCTTATTTTATTTTATTTTCCGATTTTGGTCAGTAGCTTTCTATTTTTTTATTATGTTCAATTAGCTAACATAAAATACATCATTAGTTTTTGATGCAGTGTTCAATGATTCATTAGTTGTGTGTAACACCCTTATATGTAATTCCATGTATATGAACTGTCCAGAATAAGCAACTCTAGACAGACAGAAAGTTAGATTCATGGCTGCTTTAGAGTTGGGGTAGGGGAAAAGGACAGTTGGAAGAGATGGGGAGTGACTGCTAATGGGTTCAGGGTTACCTTTAGGAATGCTGTAAACAAGAAAAATGAGTAAGGGACAGGCAGGGCCAGGTAGGGAGAGAGAGGTAGGGGGCTACATGTTAGGCTTACCCAAAATCCCAGAAATGCTGAGGTGTGAGGAAACCAGAGATAAGGGAACAGAAGCAGACGACCGCGTTTGCCTTAGATATCAGAGATGAGATATTCAAAGGAGAAGTAATCATCAGTGGTAAAATCAAAGATTTCAGTTCCCTGGTCGGTTTCCTATAAAAGACTGACCATGAAAGACTGATTGGCAGCCCAATTAGAATCCCTCTTCCTCTAGAGAGCTTTTTTCTTTCCTTCCTGTTCTCACCTTCACTTAATACACTTTCACTTCACTTCACAAAAGAAAAAAGAAAAAAAAAAAAGCAAAGTGAGAGAAACAGTACAGTACAGGAGCATAATTTGGTATGCAGCTGGGAGAAACCGGATGTGTCTGTTAACACATAGCAGCGCACACACCTGATACGACTACTTAGGTAACTGTGGTGGAAATCTACTATAGCTACACCTACACTTATTCTCAAGAACATCACTCCTGGTGTATGACCTACAGAAAAGAAAGCAGATGTGCTCACACATGAGGAGGATCACCGCAGTTAAAAACCAGAAGTGCCATTAAGAAGGGGACAGAGAAGTAAACCATCAGCGTCCACGAGATACACAGCACGAGAGCACAAGAATGGAACCGCAGCCACCCTCAGCAGGGCTGCCCAGATAGTTGTGGCCCTGCAGATGCAGGAGCCGCATAGGCCGCCTGAACCCAGCTCTGCAAAGTTCAAGGACAAGCACATCAGTCCCTGCATGGCATGGTCAAAAGATGTGTGTGTGTGAGAGAGGAGGGGTGGTTACTGACTGGGAGGCGCCGTAAGGGAATGTTCTTCAGTCTGGAAATTTCTAAGGCTTGACCTAGGTGGCGGTTTTAGATACATGTACACAGTTGGTGGTTGAACACCACAGGGGTTAGGGTGCCAGCATCCTACGCAGCCAAAAATCTGAGTATAACTGGGACTTTGTTTATATATAACTAAGTTAAGTAAAACTTAACTACTGATAGCCTGCTGTTGATTAGAAGCCTCACCAATAACATAAACATTCACCCCACATTTTGTATGCTGTATGTATCAACATACTGTATTCTTACAAGAAAGTAAGACGAAGATAAGAAAAAAAAAATTAAGAAAATCATAAAGAGGGATGCCTGGGTGGCTCAGTCATTAAGAGTCTGCCTTTGGCTCAGGTCATGATCCCGGGGTCCAGGGTTCAAACCCCACATTGGGCTCTCTGCTGGGTAGGAATCCTGCTTCTCCCTCTCCCACTCCCCCTGCTTATGTTCCCTTTCTTGTTCTCTCTCTCTATCAAATAAATAAAATACCACCTTACACCAGTTAGAATGGCCAGGAAACAACATGTGTTGGAGAGGATGTGGAGAAAAGGGAACCCTCTTACACTGTTGATGGGGATGCAAGTTGGTGCAGCCACTTTGGAAAACAGTGTGGAGAATTTAAAAATAGAGCTTCCCTATGACCCTGCAATTGCACTACTGGGTATTTACCCCAAAGATACAGATGGAGTGAAAAGAAGGGCCATCTGTACCCCAATGTTTATAGCAGCAATAGCCACGGTGGCCAAACTGTGGAAAGAACCAAGATGCCCTTCAACGGACGAATGGGTAAGGAAGATGTGGTCCATATACACTATGGAGTATTATGCCTCCATCAGAAAGGATAATACCCAACTTTTGCAGCAACATGGACGGGACTGGAAGATATTATGCTGAGTGAAATAAGTCAAGCAGAGAGAGTCAATTATCCTATGGTTTCACTTATTTGTGGAGCATAACAAATAGCATGGAGGACAAGGGGAGATGGAGAGGAGAAGGGAGTTGAGGGAAATTGGAAGGGGAGGTGAACCATGAGAGACTATGGACTCTGAAAAACAATCTGAGGGTTTTGAAGGGGCAGGGGGTGGGAGGTTGGGGGAACCAGGTGGTGGGTATTAGAGAGGGCACCGATTGCATGGAGCACTGGGTGTGGTGCAAAAACAATGAATACTGTTATGCTGAAAATAAATTAAAAAAAAAATCTTTAAAAAAATATAAGAAAATCATAAAGAAAATACATTTACAGTCCTGTACTGTATTTATTGAAAAAAATCCATGTGTTAAGTAGGGCCCACACAGTTCAAGCAGATGTTGTTCAAAGGTCAACTGTGTGTATAATCTAACAACTGCTACATATATATGCCCACCCCCCCCACACAAATAAATGGCTTTCTACCCTAGGACTCTACAACCCAACTTCTCAGTGTCTACCCACTGTAACCTCCAGGTGTGTGTCCCCCAACCAAGATTTCATATGTTGACATCTTAACCCCCAAAGATGATAGTATTGGGAGGTAAGGACTTTGGGAGGTCATGAAGCCCTCTGGAATGGGGTTAGTGTTCTTACAAAACAGACCACACAGAGCTCCCTCTTCCCCCTCACTCATGTGAGGACATAGGGAAAAGGCACCATCTATAAAACCAGGAAGGGGGCCGTCCCCAGAAGACAATCATGCTGGCACCTTGATTTGGGACTTCCCAGCCCCCACAACTGTGAGAGATAAATTCATGTTGTTTATAAGCCACCCAGTCAGTGGTGCAGCCCCAGTGGCTAAGCTATGACCCTAATGAAACAGCCATATAAGACTGGCACTCAGCCAGAATTGACCAGCTTACACATACCACTGCTAGAACAGTGAAACACTCCCACTCTGGTTGCCTCTTGCTCAGGACGACCCACGACGCACCACGGCCTAATCTGGCCAGGGGCTCCCGTGCTGGTCACATGGGGGCTGGGTGTTGTGTGCATTAATCCTGCACTCACCCACACCCACAAGGAGGTTAAGAGGCTGCCATGAGGTACATTGAGAAACTGCCAAGAGCCCAGATCTCCAACCACAGGGGCAAGACCACCAGACCACGATCATGTTTACATGAAAGCAGACATCTTAGAACCATACTGTGTCTCTCACGGGAACATGACTGTGCAGAAGGGCTCAGAAGGGACACAAGCAGCATGGTTGCCTGAAGCCACACTCACGGAGGATGTCATGCATGACAATGTTCCAACTGTTTCTTTTTCTCAATAAGAGGAGAACTATGTGTCACTTGTGAAATTAAAAGTTAAAAAAAAAAGTGTAAAGCAAATCTTGGGGTAAAAGTCCTGAGGAAGCTGGGTTCTGCTGACTGGTAGGATTAAATGAAGTCAATTTGCCCGCAGCGTGGTGTGCTGTGAGGGCTAATTCAGATGTCGGGAAGCAGCCAGAGCGGCAGAGCCTCAGTGGGGGACAGCACCACATGGGCCCTGGCCAAGCATGCAGCTTACTGGTCCACATTCCTCCCATGTGAGCAGGTGCCCAGTGCTGTTTGTCTGCCTGCTAGCACTACTTAGTAACAACCAGGTCCCAAGGGAACCCCTGTAGGACTCTCCTCCCGGCACTGGTTACATGGCAGGAATGTGCCCACAACACCAGCAAAATACACAGAGTCTGGAGAAGGCTCCGTGTGTGCTCCCTGTTACAGAGCTGCTCCATGCCTGGTCTAAGAGAGGAAGTGGGTCTGGTGACGTATGGAGTGAGGATCCCAGAAGCCTGTCTGGCTAAGGGGATGCCTGGGTGAGGCAGCTTTGAGCTAGGACGGGCTCCCCCACTCTAAGGCAAGGGTTGGGCACCTCCTTCCGAAGCACTTGGAGCATTTACCCTGTCACTGGGGTCCTTGTGAGTCTTCCTTAGCAGAGCACGACTGGAAACTCAAATCTCCCTTCACCACTAACCTGACCTAGCTCCTGGGCCCACTTAGGTGGTCTGCAGATGGCACCTGGAGGATCTGAGTTTCTGTGGCCCTCCACCTGCACTCAGGTCCCAAGTACTGCCAGGCCCAGAGTGCAGGAGCACCTCACAGCCCCAGCGTTGGAGGGTAGGTGTTCTCCAACCACATGACTCCCTTCATGACATGCAGGCTTCACCCTCCACAGAGGGAACGTGCCAAGAGAGGCATCTCAGACTCACCACTCTCCGCCCTGTTCCCCTACTGACAGCATGTGTAGGGGCAGAAATGACAGGAGTCAGGAAAAGGAGACAGAAAGGGCTTGGGTACCCTCCACCTCACCATATCACCTGAAATAATCCCACATCCTCTTTCCAAAGTGCATTCATGGGGCTTGGCCACCTCTGTCAAAATCACAAGCGGAGATAATCTTGGATCTCGCAACCCTCTGCTTTGGAAATATCTACAGCAAGAGCAGCGCACAGCACAGTGTGCTTACCACAGTCCTTGGGGGTTGTCGGCCCCCAGCACAGGGGAGCACCTTCGTGACCCACAGTCAATTCCCCTCATACTGCAATCCCATGCGGCCACTAAAGAAGGGCTTGAGCTTCTTTACCAGGTTTTCATAATAAAGATGAAGCACAGAAACGTCTGGAGTGTTGTGCCCCAGGCCACGATCAGCCAGAGCCTCCAGGAAGCTGCTTACAGGCAGGGAAATCTGTTTCCTATTTAGCCTGGCACTGTTTGAATTCACCACAGACACAGCCACACAGCCTTCATGATTAAAGCCATATGGAAGCCTTCACTGGCTCTGCCCCATGGTGGGCCACTCACCTGAGCCCAGGGTCCTCAGGGAAGAGCGGTCATACTTCTTCACCCAGGAGTCGCCATATTTCAACAACAGCCGGACAGCCGTCGGGGCCCCATAGAACTGATTGATCTTTAACCTCTGCACCGTCTCCCAGTATCGACCTACAGAAGGGCCCAAGTTCACTGTCAGTCTGAGCCCACCACACGTTATCTAACTCATTTAGAAATCAGTCAACAGTTACTGTGCACTGGATACAGGCAAATACCTGTGTTCACAGAAATGGAATCCCAACGACCCATCGATGAAATGGGAAGTGAGCCCTCTGAGAAGGGGCTCCCCGTGGCAATCATCTCCCAGCATACCCCACATCCAGGGCCAGCACATTTGGCAATACCCTCCATCTGGCTCTGGATGGCTGCATTCACAGGGTGTAACCCAAAAGATTCAGCAAGGATCAGTTCAAAGAGGTATCACTGTGAATTTTAAAAATAACCCACGCCGTACTGACATAGAACTTGTGTTCAGTCACACCAAAATGGTCTCTAAGGGGGTGACTGGTGCTTCCCCTGGCACAGCGGCAGCCACCACTGAGTGAGCCCTGGAGAGCAGGGCAATTCTCCAGCACTTACTCACCTGGTTCCCCACAATCCCCCACAACTAGCCACCAATCCCCCACAACTACACACGGAGTGAGCAGAGCTTCGAGGGGGCGGAAGTGACATGGCTGAGATCACACCTAAGATGGCCTGCACATTTATCTGAGAGTGCATCCTAGCCCATCAGGAGGCTGGAGAGGAGCAGGGGAGGTGACAAAGAAGTTCCACACACATCACTGTTAGCACCGTGGAGGGTTTGGCAAGAGCCTCCTGGCAGAGACACCACCATTCCATGGCATTACAACAAATTCTTAGGGTTTTGTGCTGCCTCGGAGGAAGCTGCCAAAGTGAGCAAGATGTGGGTCCTCAAAGTGATCTCCATTCACGGACGTGGCTCCAGACCACAGGCAATGCTGTCTGACAGAGAGCACAGGCACAGAGCTGGATAAAGTCCCCTCTGTCTGGGGTAATGGGAGGTTGGCAGCTGGCCTGGGGGTTGAGGAAGGGCTGGATCTGGTCAGGTGGCCAGAGAGGAGAGAGGAACAGTGCTAAGGGGATGGCCCAAGGCACCCAGTTTGCTAGGGGGACAGGAACGCTGGAGTGGGCTGTCCTGAGATGGCTTTCAGTGACAAATCTATGACTTTTCTGATCCTACTACAGACACCACCCCTAGCCCCAGCCCACCTCAAAGGGCGAAGAATTCGGCAGCTATGCCACATGACCACAAGGACCACAGCCGGGCCAGAGCAAAGACCTCTACTCCACCCTCCTGTGAACTTCTCCTTCCTCCAGCTCCCTCGGGGGGACCCTGTGTGCATCCCCAGTCCTCACCAGCATCAGGGTAAACCGGGGTACTCTCAAAAAGGACGCTGGTTGCTCCATTGCACAGGGGTCCGTACACCACATAGCTGTGTCCTGTGATCCAGCCAATGTCGGCCACACAGCCAAAGACGTCACCTGGCCGGTAGTCAAACACAAGCTGCAGAAATAGGAGAGGCCATCAGGAGCCTGTCACCCCACATTCCCACAGGTCACTAACACTGTTCTGTAAATGCAAAACACAGCTGCACCTAAGGCTACCAAGAGCAGGAAAAACAAGTGCATTGCTGGGGCTCTGTGCAGCTACAGAAGTGACAAGACAGTTACTGTCACCCACAACACGCCGACTCTCGCAGGCAACAGTGAAAGAAGCCAGACTCCAAGTGTATGTTGCGTGAGCCCCAGCCAACCAAAGCTAATCTGTATGGTGGAGGTCGTGCAAGTGTCAGCCCTGCTGGGGGGCATCAGTGCCTTTAAGAGCTGGAGATACCCCACATCTGGATGCAGGTGGTGGCCACAAGTGTACCCACAGGTAAAACGCCATCTAGTTATAAGTCTAAAATAAGGGCACCCTGCACTAGTTATACCACAATCTTCTTAGATCCCTTAAAAATTGTAAAAACATGAAAGCCAAAAAGATCAAGAAATGCCTTAAGCATCATCAGCTTCTGAGAGCCTGAGCAGAGAGACTGTGTCTCTTGTATTCTCGCCACAGGGTCCCACCAGAGCCTGAATCTGAATGTCCCTTTTCAGGAAACACAGAGAACAGAGGGATAAAACTGCTGGGTGCCACAGAAAAGTGTAAGGAAATGGAAGGGACAGAGAAACAACAGGTTAAAAAAGCCTTAAAAGACACCTCAAAGAAGCGTCAGCAGGCAAGAGTAAGCTATAGGATCAGGGGACACATACTGGGTGACAAAGCTAGAAGAGGGGAAACACGGGACCATGATGCTATCAGTCAGGATACAGGGAGGGGCTGTAGTCAGACACGGAGGAAGGGCTTATGTGACCAAAGTGGGGTTTGCCTTTTCATAATTCTTCAAGCCACATACTTGATTTGGGTGGTTTTCTGGATTCTACTCTGTATTCTGTTTCCCAATGAAAAGATTTTCTTTTAAATCTTCGGGTGAGTGGCCCAATTTCTTGCTGCCCCAAATGAACACTGAGATTCTCCAGGAGTCTACATATAGCACAGTGGTCTTGAGACAGCCTGGGCCCTGTGCAGCTGTGACCCAAGGGGTCACCCAACCCACCCACATTCAAATCAGGCCTGTTTTTTAAATGCATTTATGAGAATAAAAGCATGTCACACCATCTTCTTTATAGGCCCTAAAGGGTGGTCCACTGTAACACAATTCCCATATAATGGACTTAGGTTTCCTTAAGAAAAGTAAATCTTTTTTTCTAATTTTACTTTTAAAATGTGGCCCCAGTGATCCAAGCCCAGAATACCTTTAAGGGCATATGAAAATGTTTTACTTTCTTTAAACACCAGGAAAAAAAGAAAAAAAAAAGATCTACTAAGTAGAAGTAGACATTTAATATGTAAAAGTAGCATATCCATCTCTATACCAACTCAGTTGTAAAATATGATTTTTGACATTTTTTATGGATGAAGGAGCCCAGGAGGGCGCTTACGTGCTTACACCTGGGCCCCTGAGCATCAGAACACAGCTGTAGCAAAAGGAGCACATTGGGCCTGGGGAGAGCCAGACTCCTCCAGAGCAAACGATGGCAAGGACACAGGGGCAAAGGGGCTAAAGGCCAGCAGTGAGCAGATTAGAGACCTGGACTCTTCCAACGAGCACAGAAACTTGGGCCCCACACCCACCTATGCAGAGTGCCAGAGCCACAACTTAGAGCACCCCACTCCTGAATGTACTAGGAGAAACGTTAGGCCCTCACACATACAAGCGCTAGGTTATAGCAGGAGTTCTAGCCCTAACCCAGGCTCTGAAGGCCCTCTACCCAGAGCCCAGCCACAAAGGCGTGACTCCTCGCACCCTCAGCCTCCCCCAACAAGGCACATACCCGGTGTGTCAGGGCGGCATAGAGCAGGTAGCCCGCCTGGGTGTGGACGAGTCCCTTGGGGGTCCCAGTGCTCCCCGAAGTGTACAGCAAGAAGAGCATGTCCTCACTGCCCATGCTCTCTGGGGCGCACACAGGGTCCTCCTTGGCCATTTCCTGCAAGGGGGAAGACATACACAGTCCCATCCAGGGAAGTTAACCTCTGCCCCCATTCACCCTCTCTGAAAACACCTCTCACCTGATGCCTAAAGGACTTGGCAGACAGGGTTCAGTTTGCCTTTTCTATCCTACCTTAGTTCAACTCCAGATGCAGGGAACACAAAGGGAAGGATCCAGTCATTTCTATTACACTGTTTCAGTATGTTTGTTCCATCTGAGTTCCAGCTTCCCAACCACAATATAAGCCCATGAGATTCCACTGGGGAACCCTGAGCACATTTAGGGGACCCAGGTTGAAAACCACAGTTTTCAACCTGGGTTGAACTCAGACCCAGTGTACCCAATAATTACCCCTCTTCCTCCAACTGTACAGAGCAAAGCAAACACACCTGCTCAAGGGGGATGTCCCGATGACCCATGTGGACCTTGTTGTCTGTCCTGTGAGCCACCAGGACGTGCTGGATGGTTGGGCAGTGCTTCACAGCTTCATCCACGATCTTCTTCAGCTCCACCACGCGCCCTCCCCGGAGTCCTTGGTTGAAGGTGATGACTACCTTGCACTTGGCTAATGCATACAAACAAGATTTCTGGTCAATTTCCTTCCCACTCTGAGCTTCACAGCCCAGGCTGAGGAGCCACACAGTCCAGGCCTGAACATGTGATAGACAAAGTCCATTCTTGAGCAAAATGGGGGGATCTGGCTGCCTTGCAATCTTTGGCTGAGTACAGAAGTACCAGGCCTTTTCACAGTTCTAAGGGAGACACTTCCATCAGTCCCTGCCAGGCCCTGGGAGGCTTTCCCAGGTGAGGGGCCATCACACCGTCCTCAGCCACAGCCACCATGGTGGCAAAGCAACACCAAGATGCAGAGACCAAGAAAACTGGACAGCCAGAGATCAAGCCCCAATGTGTCCTGTGTGGCCCCTGTCCTGTCCAGGGACAAGAAGCTTCAATGCCAGAAACCAGAGGGTGCCAGGAGTTACAGGCCCCCAACCTTGCCTTTAGCAGATGGCCCTCCAGGCTCCACACCTGCTATTCAATGACCTGGCTAGGCTTGACCAGGTTCAGGGCAAGGATGGGAAGACTGAACCTTCCATAGCAGACCAAGGGTTAAGGCCCTGAGCAGGATACAGACACAAACTAGGCCTCAGAACCATAGGTAAAGGAATGAGATCCCACATCATGCCTCAACCTGGGATGACCCAGAGGAATCAAGGCTGCAGTGGGCTATTCTCTAACTGGCCCCTAATGGAAGAGCCCAGAACAAATACCCAGTTTTAGTGCTGACCAGCAGGGACCCACACATCCTCAGACCTTTTATCACTCTGTACCAAGAACTTCTTCCAAAGCCACAGGCAGAAGCACTAAGGATTGCCCCAACCCCAGCAGCCTTCCACCAAGGATTCATGGGTTGGAATATAAATAGTCCAACTCCCTCGCCCCCCAGAGGCCCATTCCTATGTGGTTCTATCACCTTCCAGGGCTCTCTAGGGGACTGAGCTCCAGGCACCCACTGTGGAAGTTTGTCTACTGGATTTCTCTTCCCAGCCCCACTCCCCAGCACCCTAGATTGCTTCCCAGGACCACCTCCCAAATGAACTGGCTACCCCTGAATGCTCACCTCAGGGTGTACTTTTGTGGGAGCCCTGACAAAGGTACTATCTCCTTCAGCTTTTCTGTCTGAAAAGTGCCTTCTAGCAACACACTCATTCTTTCTTTATCCCAAGGGCCCTAGAGTTGACATGACCTTGAGAGCCTCCTAAGAATTCTCTTAGCCCTTGGCTGGGTCACCCAAGGATCAGAGAAGTACTCTAGAGGCCTTGAGGAACCCAGGAAAGTGTCATCCAGCTCTGCACAGCAGGGCACCCCAGCGGCACATTCTTTGCTCCTCAGACCTGGCCACTGGTCACCCTGGGGAAACAAAATCAGTTGGGTGTAGTCCGTCAGAGATCACCCTGGCCTACATCCTGGGTGCTGAGATTGGTCCAGGTCAACTCCCTATGGGGCAAGAAGGGAGATGATCCAGCAGGTAGAAAGAACCTGGCCTCAAGGGGGTGAGAGACAAAGAAAAATCAGGACCCCCTGGGGAGTCCCCGTCTATCCCAGGTGCATTATGTGGATTATAGCTCCACATAAGTGCATTATGTGGATTATAGCTCCTCCATAGCCTACCATGGCACAAGCCTTGCTCCTGGCTCTCATTTGCTGGAAGCTTTCCACCCAAGCAGTTCTCTAGGGCAGGAACCTGCATCGCATGCCTAGTCTCTAGGAGGTGCTTGAGGATGTGTTTCACTCTGTGGTTTCCCCCGAAGTTCAGTGACGGGTACAGGGTTTGTGCACAGCATCAGGGCACAGGCCAGATCAGCATGACACTTTATCTGGGAAGCTTTGATTTTTACCTCCCTGGCTTTTGAGCAGGTATTAGCATCTGTCTTCATGTTTTACTGCTCCTATAGCCAATTACCACAAACTTAGTGGCTCGGAAAACCCATATTTTATTTCACAGTTCTCTAGTCCAGTGAGCTTGGTGGGGTTCTTTTCTTGAAGTCTCATGCCCAAATTCAATGTATGAGGGAACAAAGCTCTCATCTGGGGGCTCTGGAGGAGACTCTGCTTCTGGGCTATTCAGGGTGTTGACAGAACTCAGCTCCATATAACTTCAAGACTGAGGTCCCCATTTTGCTCATTTTTCATTCTGTCAGCCAACAGTTGTTCTTAGCCTTCAGAGCCACCTACCTCCCCTGGCTTATGATGTTCTTTATCATCAAAGCTAACAAAGGCAGATCAAGTCCTTCTCATGCTTTGACCTCCCATTCTGCCACATGTCCTCTGCCTCCAGCCAGAGAAAGTTCTCTGCTTTCCAGGGCTAACATTTTTAGTTTGGGCCCACCTGGATAATCCTACCATTTCAGTGCTCATCCCATTTGCCAAGCCCTTTTGATGTGTTAAGTAACATATTCCCAGGTTTTGGGGGATTATGGTGCAGACATATGTGGGGGCCATTACTTCCTCCTCCCCCACAGCCTCTCAGAATCATTCTGCCCTCCACCCTCCCCACCATACTATACTCTCTTTCCACTCCTAATTCATCCTAAAGCAAGAGGGAATATAAAGGGAAGAGGAGTGGTTAGAGTCTGGAGGCCAGGCCAGGGGACAGAAACTCTAAAATAGAACATATTGACTGAATGGCCGCCTAGCTCATGATGAGTCCCTGGTGGCCATGCTAACACTCCCACCCCCGAACCCCAGTGATGGATTAAGGAGAGCTGAAAATTCTTCCACCTGGTCTCATACTACTTCTCAAGGAGAAATAGGGTGTTGGTGTCCCCCACCTTGAATTTGGAATGACCAGACTGGTTGGATCAATGGAGTACTAAAAATGAGGATATGTGTATTCTGAACCTGGCCTTTAGGGCAATTGGCACTTTCTACTTCCATCCAAGAGAAACTGTGAGCTGCCATGCAACAGTCTGACTGTCTGTGGTTGCCCGACCTGGTCATGCAAAGAGGCCACATGAAAAAGATGCTTCACAGCCCCCAACTATGCAAGCCAACCCAGCCTGCATCCCAGATATCATGGAGCAGAGAAAAGACATTCCCACAAAGCCCATTTGATTCTTGCCCCCACAGAATCATGAAATAATTAAATTTATTGTTCTTAGCACTAAGTTTCGGAGTAGTTTGTTACACAGCAATAAATAACCAGACACTCCTCTTATTGACCCAAGAGAAGGTAAACACCTGTCCCAACAGAGTCTTACCATGGACTGACACCTGAATAGCTGGACGTGGAAGGTGTAGGTGTTGGGTAAGAATCTCTTAATGACAAAGTATAGAGAAAATTATAGCAGTTTCATCTGCTGAGGACCTCAGAGATGACCTGGCCCCTGTCCTTCTGTGGCCTTGTTGTATAGGATTCCTGAAGTTCTGGGACCTGTTCCAGGATCCAGCTACTAAATCTCCAGGGCCCAATGCTTTGGGCTTGTTTTAAAGAATCTTAACAGAAACACTTGGCAACCATGATAATATCCTCAGCAAAGGAAAGGATCAGCCTAGTGTAATGTGTTTTTTGTTTGTTTTTCTTTAAGATTTTATTCATTTACTTGAGAGAAAGAGGCAGAGATAGTGACAGAGCTAATAAGAGACAGCAGGAGCAGGGAGGAGAGGAAGAAGCAGGCTCCCTGCTGAGCAGGGAGTCCAATGTGGGGCTCAATCCCAGGACCCTGAAATCATGACCTGAGCTGAAGGCAGACACTTAGCTAACTGAGCCATCAAGGTGCCGCAGCCTAGTGTAATGTTAAAGCATGATCTCTGGTGGCAGAATGCCTGGGTTCAAATCCTGGCTCTGTCACTAACCAGCAATGTGACCTTAGGCAAGTCACTTAACCTCTCTGTGCCTCAGTTTCCTCATCTTCAAAAAGAGAAGCTCCCAACAAAGAATAGCCCAAGACCAGATGGTTCTCACTGGTGAATTCTACCAAATATTTAAAGATAAATTAACATCAATCTTCCTCAAACTCTGCCCAAACACTATACAGGAGGAAATACATTCTAACTAATTCTATGTGGCCAGCACTACCCTGATACCAAAGCCAGATGAACACATCACAGGAAAAATAAAAACTATAGACCAATACCCTTCATGAATACTGATGCAAAAATCCTCAACAAAGTGTTAGCAAACTATAGCCAGTAGCATATTAACAGGATTACGCATCATGACCAAGTGGGGTTTATTCCTGGAATGAAAAGAGCGGTTTGACAACATGAAGAATCAAGGACATGGGTTCTCTGCTCAGCAGGGAGCCTGCTTCTCCCTCTCTCTCTGTCTGCCTCTCTGCCTACTTGCTTCTCCCTCTCTTTCTATCTGCCTCTCTGCCTACTTGTGATCTCTGTCAGATAAATAAATAAAATCTTAAAAAAAATGAAAATTAAAGACAGATATACAGATCATTGGAACCAAATACAGAACCCAGCAATACGCCTCAACATATATGGCAAATTAGTTCTGACAAAGTGCCAAGGCCATTCGATGAGGGGGAAAAAAACAGTCTCTTCAACAAATGGTGCTGGTACCACTGGATACCCACTGGCAAAAGAATGAAGTTGAACCTCACACTATATACAAAAATTAACTCAAAATGGATCAAAGACCTAGTAAAAGCTAAGACTAGAAAATTCTTAGAAGAAAACATGGAGGCAAATCTTCATCACACTGGAGTTGTCAATAGATTCTTAAATAATACACCAAAATCACAAGCAAAAGAAAAAAAAATGGATGATCCAGACTTTATCACAATTAAAAACTTTTGTACATCAAAGGACACTATTGAGAGAGTGAAAAGACAACCCACAGAATGGGAGAAAATAATTGTAAATGATAAATCTAATAAAGGTTTAGTATCCAGAACATAGAGATAACTCTTAAAACTCAACCAACCAAAACACCAACAATTTAAAAAATGGACAAAGAGCTTATGTAGACATTTATCCTAAAACATACAAATGGAGAAGCACATGAAAAGATGCTCAATGATGTTAGTCATTAGAAAGGAGATCAAATCCACAATGAAATACTACTTCGTACACATTGGATGGTTATAATTTTTTTTTTAAGTGAAACAAGGGCTGATGAGGATTCAGAGAAACTGGTAACCTCATACATTGCTGCTGGGAATGTGAAACAGAGAGACAACTTTGGAAAACAGTTTGCAGTTCCTCGCTAAGTTAAATACAGATTTACCACGTATGCCAGCAATTCCATGCCTAGGTATATGCATGAAAAATTGGAAGAAGGTGTTCTCATGAATGTTCACAGCAACTCTATTCAAAATAGCCAAGATGTGATATGTTAACAAGTCAAATGTCTATCAACAGATGAATGGATAAACAAAACATGGTATACCCGCACAGTAAAATTTTATTCATAGAAATGGAAATGAAGAAATGATACATGCTACAACATGGATGAACCTTGAAAACACTGTGAGTGGCCATAGAAGTCATATACAAAAGGCGACGTATCCCATGAATTCATTCTATGAATTACCCAGAATAGGCAAATCACTGACACAGAAAGCAGATTAGTGGTTGCCAGAAGCTGGATGGAGGGGGAAACAGGGAGTCCCTGCTTAATGGGTATGAGATGTCCATTTGGGGTAATAAAAAGGGTCTGGAATAGACAGTGATGATGGTTGCACAACACTATGAATGTGCTTAATGCCACTGAGCTGTATACTTTAAGATAGTTATAATAATAATAAAAAATGGGGGAAGGGAGAAATAGGGAGAGTATTATCGCCTATCATATTTATGAAGACTAGTTTAGTTAAATTAAAGGAGAGGACTTTTGCAAAGTGCTTAGAACAGTACCTGGCACATGGTAGGTGCTACAGAGTTGAGAGAGAGAAGGAGAAATGAATGACAGCACCAACCCTTGAAAGTGGAGGGAGAGATGTAGAAAGGGAGCGGAAAGGCTTCTCAGTCCCTCCTAAAGAAGGTGGTCAGCTAGGGTCTAGGTCAGAACTCTGCCCTTGAACTGTGTTTACTAGCCAAAGGCAAGTCTTCAGTGAGACACAAAGAACTCCCAGTGGCCCCCCCCAAGCATCCTCCTTGGTGAGCCAGCTCAGGGAGCTCTCTATGACCTCACTGAGCAGGGGTCAGACCTCGCAGACATGAGGTCACCATCCAGACACTCAGCCCTCCCACACCAGAAAAAGGAGGGAGACAACATTGTTCTGGACACTGTTCAGGAGACTCTGAGCTACCTGCAGATAGAAATCCTTAAAGATGCACCATAAGCCCCCACACCTGACTCAGGCCTCTGGAAATGGTCTGCCCCATCCTTCCTCATGACGGAAGACTTTTAATTGTTGACCTGGGAGACATTCCTCATACATCCCCAGCATCGTGTCGCCCTACACATTGCTTCTTCCACCACAGCCATTCCAGTCACCTCGAAGCGCTTATATGAGTTGTGCTCCTCCCACCAAGCAGCTGAGACCTACGCTGTTCCCTCCAGCTGAAGTCTTCCTTTTTCACCTGATTAATCCAATGCCATCAGATCTCAGCTCACAGAACAAATGCTCATTCAGCCATGTCCTTGTCTCTGGTGGTATCTGTCATTCGTCTGTGTGATTTTTATTAATGTCTGTCTCCACTCCCAAGTCGCTGATGGCCAGGCCCCAAAGAACAAAGGCCAGGGGCCCCCAGGTTTCTCCCTCCCTTCCAAACGCTCACCATCATTAATCCTCCCAGCCAGGGACTCTGCACTGAAGCCAGCAAAGACCACGGTGTGGACAGCTCCAATCCTGGCACAGGCCAGCATTGCGGCCACAGCCAGTGGGGAAACAGGCATGTAGATGGCCACACGGTCCCCTCGACGGATGCCATGTCTCTTCAGCATATTTGCCAGGCGACACGTGGTCTCCAGCAGTTCCCTGAAGTACAAGGAAGAGAAGGCCATCAGAGATGGTGAAGGGCCAAAATGCTGAGTGATTTGGGGAGCATAATTCTGCGAACAGTAAGTACTGTACACCCAGCCAGGGCCCGGAAGACAGTAGGTACTCAGTGGCTTGTTGCACGGCAAGTTCTTTTCCAGAAAATAATGTTTTCAACTTCGCAGGCTAGTACTAGCAGATTCATGGCCACATTACCGTGGTCAGATGGCTGTCCTTGGGTTCACTCACAGCAGGGCTTCTCAGACAGCACAGGGGGCCAAAGCCTAAATTGTCACATCCCTGAGACGTCTCGAAAGTCGAACGGAAAGGTCCGCCCCCAAAAATGATCTCCTAAGACCTTTAGTGGGGAAAGTAAGGCCCCCGTTTTATGAATCAGCACAGCTCAGTTGCACCAAGCAAGGCTCTAGCCGGGAGGCCGCAGCTCACGCAACAGACTCCCAACCCCGTGTAGCCACGCTGAGTCGAAGCGAAGGCGGCCGAGTGATAATCACCCACCTGTAACCCAGAGGCAGGGAAGGCAGGGAATGAAAGCACCTCCTTCTTCCCAGTTGCAAGGCACCGAATGCACGTGGCACTTTGAAGACGCAGGGCCATCCAGATACCCACCCCCTCCTACCTCTCCTGTCCACGTGACCATCCCTCCATTTCTGGACTAATCACGAGGTTCTGCCTGCCAATCAGAATGCAGCATCTCCCTAGAGAAGCAGACTGGCTTAAGGCTTGACACGTGACCCAATCTGCCCAATCAGAGTCAATGACACTCAACTCAACTCCGGGAACAGGGACTATGCGCCTTAAAGCGCCCGCTTGTCTGGAATGGAGCTGGGAGTGGAGAAAAGCAACCTGGGGAGCTCGACGCTCCATTCCCTGTGGTTCCAGCGGATGTGCCAACTGACCCCTGACTATGCAAATAACCAGTCATTTAACCCGTTTTTCCTGTGATTTGATTTTAATTTATTTAATCACAGAACTAACAGGGAAAGACAGAATAAGGGGCAGCCAACCAAACTAACCTCACCCACGCTCTGCATCTCCCTGAGGGGTCTGAGTGGGGGCTGGGGGGCAGCGCCGACTTCTGCAGGCCGTGGCAGCCAGAGACTGGATGCTCTGAGCTCTGCAAGTCCCCTTACAAGCGTGTGCCTGCTTCCCCTCTGTTCAAAAGGTCCTCAAGGTAAGGGCTCTGAGAAAGGCCAAGCTCAGCAAGAGGCCGCCTAGAAACACCAGCGGAATGAAGATGAACACGCCCCATTTCAGGCAGAGACTTCAAGGGGACTTTTGTTTCTTCCCAAAGCCATCCTGCATGGAGACCTGATGAGAACCAGATCATAATTCCAGCCTGCACTTGGCCTCGCGACCAGTAACTCCCGCCCAGACTGGCTCCAGCATGCCTCTTCTGCAGGATTTCATCCCCCGCTTAAAGCTTTCAGGAGGACAAAGACCCCATTCAGTGGTGCCCCACCCACTCCTTGCCTAAGTTTATGTCGAAAGAAAACGTACTTCCTGACAGACCCCAGCGCCAAACCCCGGAATCCAGAACCTGGGAACATCCATACTAAGCCAGGGAAGGAGGCTGGGACAGCCCGTGATAGTATGGAAGAGGCAGCTGTGGTCAATAATGCAGAATAACTCAAGCCCAGTGGAGACACCATTTTCCTAGCTAAGGATTTAAGCCTCTGGGCAGTGCTCAGGGAGATGGAAGCTTAGATATGTGTTACACATCAATGGTGATGAAATTCAGTCCTTACTCTGAAGACCAAAGGCATCAGTCAGAAGTCAAGGAACACAAGTGAACTGTCTAGACAGAAGAGCCTGGGTTAGTTTTCTATAGTGGCTGCATTAAACATGGCAGCTTACCTTTCTCAACTGCCATGCAGTCATCTGAGAAACGGCAGGTGCCATGCAACTTGTGTACCTGTCAGAAATGTTAGTGAAAACCATCACCCACCCAGGGCCCTGCCAAATATTTAGTAGGTATTATCTTTCCCATTAGATCTCTTTGTCATCATTTCCTAAAATTCTAAAAATCTAAATTCTAAAAAAAATATTTCTAAAGTCATGTAACTGGTGAATTCCTAAGACGCTAAAAATTCCATCCAGACACTGTGGAGATGAGAGTGAAAGTGTCCTACAGGATCACAGTTCTGACTAGAGAGATGAAGGCACATGCATGAGTGTGTGAAGGGCGTTTTACCTCAGCTTGGTGCAATAGTCTCTGAGGGCAGCAGGGAGAACTTTCTGGACAGATTGGCTGTGGTGAAGAGGAGCAAGGGAGCAGCAGTATGAGTCACCCCTCTACTATAGGAAAGTTGAGCCATAGCCCTGGAAGAGGGTCTGGAGACTAAGCTGAGGCAACCTATGGGTTCCCTGGAGGATTGAGAGGCATCAACTGTGTGCTGCACCTGGAGCTGGGTCCCGTGGGTCTCAGACTCTTGCTGCTACAACTAGGGGAGCAGTTTCTGATAAAGAATTTGCTCTGGGTAAATCTCCAGGCATGTTCCCCTTTCTATCCACTCTGCCAAGGCCATAAACCTGAAAATCAAAGGGCTCCTTGAAGGTCAGATGGTGCAGTCTGCCTTGGGGTCCAGAAATCTTATTGCTACACTCTTGTCCACAGTGGTCCAGCCTCTGCTTAAGAATCATACTGCTGGAAGTCACCACCTCATAGAGCTGTCTCTTGCTCTGTCATTTTAGTAGAGAAACAGTCTTTCTAAAATTGGACCAAGTTCTGTAGCTGTACAAATTCCACACGTTGGTCCTAGCTCAGCTCTTTAAACCTGAATAAATCTAGTTTTTCATTCAGTGGCAGCCCTTCAAATCTCTCAATATCCTCCATACTTCCAGGAAGCCTTTCTTCTGCAAGTTCTTTCATCCAGCCATCCATGACCCCACAAACTCTCTATAGATATACCTCCAGGTTACCAAATTGACCCCCACATTCTCATTGTGTCTCTCTAGAGCAGAATATCGGCACCCAGACCCTTGATCTCAACTCTACACTTAATAATGTAAATTAAGAACATGTTGATTTCCTCCACACTTTTGCCATTGGAAAATAAGGTCAGCAAACCTAGGTCTTCAAATCATTGAAAAATAAATGTTATTTGAGTGATCCTATCATTCCACATATTCAAAAAGTGTCCAAAAGCATGTTCTTGGATATCTGTGACTTCTCAGAGACTCCCATGAACTGTTTCTGTATCAAATAGATAATGCAGCCACTTGGAGGCTGGTGCTTCAGTTTGTCACTGCAGGAAATACTAGCTTCCTTATACTAACAGGGTCTTCCCAACGGATAGCAGCTTTCAGCTTTCTGAGAAATGATCTTACTGAAGTTAGTGTTATATTTTCAAGTGCAAAGAGAAAAGTAACATTTGTTATTAGGTATTGACCAAGATATCTAAGTTTATCTGCAATGTAGACTCTTCAGACCTAAACCTTCAATATGAACCTATGCAAACAATGTGCACAAATACATAAATTTGGCATGGTGTTAGTAACTGCTAACGGGCCTTGCTTGGGGAAGGGAGAAGACTTTCTACAGCCAACTATTAAGCAGGGAATAATGTTTATCCAATGCTAAAGACATAATCTGACCTCAAGTATTTGTAACCAACATGACACCTGCCAATGTCTCAGCCAGTATAAAGGCCCCTGGACCACCTCAGTCCAAAACAGGACACAACTGGAAATCAAGTTCAGAAGAAAGACAGGAATAAATACACTGGTATTTATTTATTTATCTATATTCTAATTAAAGCTTTTTTTTTTTTTTATGGAAAATATCTTTATGTCCTAGCATTTCCCAATGACAGCCCAGGGAAGTAAGATAGGCCATGTGTGTGTTTTGTACTTAAGAAATAAACAAATTGAGAATGCATGATTTGCTCACTTCCCACAATTACAATGGCTCTTAGTGTTCATTAAATAAATACCACCTCCACTGTCCATCTATCCCACTAAGTACAAGCTTTACTTGGGCGGGGATTTGGGGGTTACTCCCTTCTTCCTAGGGCCTACAGCTGAGCCTAGTTCATAGAAGGCTCAGTAAATATTTGTGGAATGAATGGGAGCAGCAGATAAGTGAGAAACGACAAGGGCTCTGACAGGCGCAGGACTCCTCAGGCCTGTGCTCTCACTGTGAGTGCCTGTCAACTCTGCAGATGCCTTCCATCTCCCTGCAGGGAGAGAGGGTGAGGCTGGTCAGCCCATCAGCATCATACAGGCAGGGAATTGTCCTACTCCTCTGACAGCAAGTGAGAGGGACCGCTCCCACTGATAAAGCACCCAGAGGTCCTTCTCAGTCTCTTTTGCCAATAAGGGAAATAAACCCAGGTGATCATGTTGATACTGTGTATGTAAGGCCTGTGACAGACACAAAGCTTTTCAGAGTCCCTGCTCTCCTCCAAGCCTGGGTGCTGACGAAGAGGAGGGGTCGACTCCAGGATCTAGATGCAGAACTTGAAAGGGCACTCAGCTGCTGTTCTGCAGTTCAGCATTTTCTTCAGCAAGCCACTTCTGGAAGATCGGGTAGTAAAAGAAGAAAAGGAAGCAGAACAAAGCAGGAGGGCCCTTTTCTCACATGGGGCTTGCGTGGAGGGATAGGCAGGACACGTCGATGGCTCATGAATTGTGTCTCAGAACCAGGTCTAGGGACAAACTCCTTCCTTCCAGACAGACTCCTCTGACCCTGACATTATTGTAGCCACTAACTCTGATTTGATGATGATAAAATTTGCTCACTCTTCTGCTCATGACTACTGGGAGAATAGATGCCCAGGAAATTTAGCTGAATGGGTTCATAAATCAAGTATAAAATTCCTTGCACATCATTATTTGATTTCATGACCATGACCTTGAGTAAAGAGAAGATGCAATGGAATATAAAGTAGTAGCCACACTTAAAGATGTAAAATTTCCAAAGCTGCTATTTGCCAAGAAAGGCCCCAGATACAGGGTTTTCAAGAAACAATAGCTGAATT